TATCAATGTCTACCCACCAATGATACTGACCCTATTTCTTAAGTCCAGAGGATGAGGTCACCTCAGTTCCTCCAGTGCAGGGCAGCTGTCCATGGAAATATGTCATTGTCATTCAGAGACCAGGATGACCAGCATCTGTCTTAATTTGATCAGGGAGAGGGTTGCTTCAGCACCAGGTCATCGACATTTTAAGTCACACTTATCGAGTTATCTTGTGTAGGTGTGTAGGAGTGCATGCTCCAGTGTGGGTGTGACAATCAGAGGACAACTCACTGGCATCAGATATTCCCTCTATCATGTGAGTTCTAGGGGCCGAACTCAGGTCCTCAGGTCTGACAGCAAGTGTCTTCCCCCACTGAACCATCCTGCTGTCCCAGTCAGTACTGGCTCTTTAAATATAGATCTGTAAATGACAACCCATGTCTGCTCACATGTCTGTTCCCTCAGCTTGCTCTTCAACAGGCTGGGTGGTAGCTACATATGTGCACAGACATGAAAACACTCAACAAGCTATGTACTTGAGACTTCTACACTGTGCACTGTACATATCACATCTCAAAAAGAAAATGCTTACACAAATCTTTCTATTTATTAAAAAGCTTGTAGGTAAAAATTTTCCCATAAGGACAACAACTAACTCACAGAGTATTAAGTGTAATTCCAATTTTAAAATCATGCAAATGGAACTAAAGTGTCTTCCAACTCCTTTTATAAGGCACACACACACACACACACATACACACACACACACACGAAGAAACAGACAGAGAAGAGAGACATACACATAAATCAGGAGATCAAAAGAAAAACAAGTACAGTGCAGTTGTCCCCAAATTGAAACCCAGAATATTCTTAACACTCTTGTGGGCTTTCTTCTTCTTCTCTCTTCGCTTTCCTTTGTATCTTTGTTCTCTCTTGCTGTCTTTCTTAAGCCCTTTCTCAGTTGATTTTCTACCTTAAAGAAAATCCTTCTAATTTCTACCTTCATAGATTAATTTGGCATGTGTTTAAACTTAGTGTAAATGCAAGCATGGAGAACATCCATCATCTCTGGGGTGCTCCTGTGTAGCTGGAGAGTTTTCTTTCTGGGTCCCACCAAGCCCCGGCAGTCTGACAGCCCACTTATAAAATAAACACACAGACGCTTATATTATTTAAACTGTTTGGCCTAATGGCTCAGGCTTCTAGTATCTAGTTCTTACATCTTAAATTAATCCATTTCTATAAATCTATACCTTGCCACATGGCTCGTGGCTTACCGGCATCTTCACATGCTGCTTGTCATGGTGGCTGCTGGCAGTGTCTCCCTCGGCCTTCCTGTTCTCTCAATTCTCCTTTCTGTTAGTCCTGCCTATACTTCCTGCCTGGCCACTGGCCAATCAGTGTTTTATTTATTGACCAATCAGAGCAATTTGACATACAGACCATCCCACAGCACTCCTGGTCTTCTTCCCCTCACCACCATGTCTATGACATGAATGTGTGGTGCTGATTGGCACAGCTGTCTAGTTTTGGGCAGTTGGGTTACAGCATTGCAGGAGTACTCAATTTACTGATGAATTCTACAGCTGATGCACATCTGCCTTGTAGATATGTCTGTTCTTCGATCAGCTTGATTTGACGGTGTTAGCAATTTGCTCAACTTGCCTAAGAATTCAAATTAGTTGTTATAGACTCAATAATTTCTTATGTGTAATCACACTGAATCTATAGTTTATGCTCCTGGTTTTGTAATTAATATGTTATTATACATGATTTAAGTTTTAATAATAAATCCATGGTTTATACCAAATCCAGAGGAATATCACTTAATGTTAGCCATGAGCAAGAGCTGACCCTGTGGCACCAGTCTTATTAGCTGTCGTGAGCTTTTCCTGAATAGTAGGAGAATTTATTTAGAGTTGTCTAATTGAGCCACAGGTTTTACTACTTTGTCAACACAAAGGAACTATGAGCCATCATGAGATGTCTTTACATCAAGAAAATCAGTTGTGAACGAGTCTATAAGTGGTCACACATTTTCCCCATTCCTGCTATCTGTGCTTTCTGAGAGATGACTTGCCATCCCCACCTTGAGGAGTCCCTTTACTAGTCCTTTGAATATATCCACGGGTCATGTGCCTGTTCTGGGCAATAGAAGATTAGTAGGTAAGACACAGGCAGAGGCTAGGAAAGGACCTGTACATTACATTAATGAGAATTTTTCTACCTCTATTAGAATGAGTCAAGGGTAGGCTCCAGTAACTGTCTGGCTGTCATCACAGTATCTGCTGGCTTGTCCAGTCACATTGGTCCAGACCAGAATGAGCCAGAAACAGACAGAAAGCCAGTACAAGGCTACTCATATCTGCTGGAACTTACCCTTGCACCTTAACTGTCTTCTTTCTCCTTTTCTACATATGTATTTCTAAGGCACTTACAGGAAGGTAAAACTGTTGGTGTATAATTCACTTGGGAGATAACACGGGACTGATTATACAAAACTGTAAAATTGAGACAATGAATATGTCACTACATTGTCTGCCTTTACAATTGACAAGCAGAGCACCTCCCTGTGGAGCAGTGCTGCTGCTGCTACCCTACTATCTGTGTGCATGTATGTGTGCATGTGTGTGTGCGCTCACGCACGCATGCTCACATATGGTATATGTGCATGTAGGTAGGTATACTTGCTTGGGCTTGCATGGTGGGTGTGGAAGCCAGAGACTAGTGTAGGAATAGCTTCCTTAGTCACCAATGTACCTTATCTAATTTTATATTTAATGTTACTGTTTTATTCATTTTTATATTTACTTGTGTATGTGCCTATGCATGCCACTGTGTGTGTGTGTGTGTGTGTGTGTGTGTGTGTGTGTGTGTGTGTGTGTGTCAGAGAACAGCTTCCAGGAGGAGCCTCTTCTTTCCTTTTTATGATCTGTTCTCTCAGGATCAAAACCAGGTCATCAGCTTGGGCACAAGAGCTGTTTGGAAACAAGCTGATTGTGTACTCTAATGCAGATCTCAGTAATATGTGTGTTTATTGCACTGTGTGGGTCCCGGGTTATTTTTAAGATTTATTTTCCAAAACTTGCATAAGTCTTGTAAATTAGCTGTCTTTATACTAGCATTTGTTCTTAATTTAAAATTTTCCATCTAAATAAAGCAATCAGTAAGCCAAGAATGGGGCATTTTGACCAAAGGTCAAAGAGTGTAATGCTAAAGTGTTCTTGTGGGAGAAAAATGAAAGGCAGTTGGGAAGAAGATAATTTGTGTTTTTCTCTCATTGACTTTTAAGGAGAATACCTTAAAAACATCTCCTGTTTCTAAAGATTTCTATAACAATAAAAGTTTATAGGGAACCAAGTTAGAGCTGACTCTTTACTTTCCAGACCATCTTACATTTTTTTAAGATGTGATTCTTGGGTTATAAAGACTGTTGAATTATTAGAATATTTCTAACAGAGGTTAGTATAATCCAGAGGACAGAAAAGACAGCTTTGAATGTACTAAGAAGTATACAGAAATGACTGCTGACATGTGCATACAAACACCTGTGCATCAGTTGGCAATTAGTTAACTAAAATTCAGTAGCTGTATTGCTTCTCTGGTTCATTTAGAATCTGTGTTTTATAAACCCAGTGTTTAGAAACACAACATGCCTCTCGCCTAAAGGAATTAAGTATATTTAGAACAGGATGTCCTGAGATGACAAAGGTCAACAAATGAGTAGAGAACCTTCCATCAGTTGGCCTGCTTTTAAGGGTATCAACTCAAGTCTGGAGCCTCATTCTGGATCCTTCCTCCCAAAGAGAGAGCATTCAGAATTACCCATACAGTTTCTGTCTTAGTGTTAGGTCCTTTTGATTAAAGCATGTCATGGAGTGAGGTTCATAAAAGCAAGAACAGAAGGGTCTGGCAGGTGATCACAGGATAAGGTGTACTGCTACTTTAAAAATTAAGCATGCATAGCCCGACTTTACTCCCTCCCACTGACTAAGGTACCGGCTGAGAGCTGGGACAGCTCAGTTCCAGAGGGGCCACCAAGCCATCAGCACTGAGTTACAGGTAACCTTTTGAGCTGTGGGGAATATTTTACCTGAGTGCCAAGTCTTCCTCATGGCCTTCCTGTTGCTTGGGACTATTTTCTAGAAGTAATGAGGGGGGGGTTACAGCAAGGGTTGCCAGGCAACATGGGACAGAGGTCCTGTCGAGGAGCTATTTCTCACACTGAGAGGACCAGTTGAAATGCAATAAAGAAATGGTAACTCGGCTTATTTATCAATACAATTACTTACACTGTATTAGGAATCCATATTTAACCTCCAAATACAGAGTCATATGTGGAAACATTAACACAAATGCTTGATAAATATTAAGGCACAGGGCAAGCAGATGGTATTGGGTTTCTAATCAGCTTTACTGTGAGCTTAAAGTGGCTGCACAGGCTGGGATGAGGGGAAAGGCCTGGAGTGCTTAGCTAGCTTCTCTTTGGGCATATGCAAGTTAGCTCTGGTCACAACATATGGTGTTCGTAAGAAGAGCTCTAGGATGCTTTACCGCATTAATTAGAGCAGGTAGTGCCAATTCCCTGGGGTCCAGTAACAGTGCAAACTAGCTGTAAGCCTACAATTCATCATCATATATAAATGCATAGACTGATTGTCCTGTACATTGATGTGTGATTTGTCCAATAATGTCAAGATCTTTATCAGAAGAATTCGCTTTTGACTCTAAGTTATGTAGTTCAGAATGGACTTTGAGAAGTGCCCCATTATCTTTGTAGAAAGCTCGAAGTCCTTGTGATTAGGATGAACTCTGGTTTCTCCTGACTTCTTGTGTGTTTGTTCACCAGACACCAGCTTCAACTCATGGCTCTGCCCTCCCTAAGGATACCCTTTCTCTGCCCTCTCTGTCCCCCAGAGATGGAGAATCCCAGTATTGAGATGGCCAGCATCTGAAGTGTTCCTGGCGAGCAGAGCAGGCCTGGTTATTAATTTTGGAATGCTTCAGCAGGTCTAGCCATGCATTACCTGGCTCTCTCACTGGGCTTCTTGCGTCAGATCATGAATACACTGATCTTTGCCTATTTGGCCTCAGTGTCATTGGCTGCCTCACAGGGCCTTTTCCCAAGGCTGGAGAACGTGGGCGCTTTCAAGAAGATATCCATTGTGCCAACCCATGCCACATGTGGATCCTCAGGCCCCAGCACTTTCTGTCATAGTGCGGCAGATGCTAAAAGTGTGCAGGGGTGCACCCAGAGGCTGTGTATCCAGGACTGCCCCTACCGTTCTGCTTCTCCTCCCTACACTGCCCTCCTAGAAGGCCTCCAGAGCTGCGTCCCAGCAGACCACACTGATCTCCATCCCTACTCCAGAAGCAACTCTACAAGCTTCATATTCAGAAGTCACAAGAACTGTCCTTCTCTACAAGCTCCGAAGCTGGCAGCAGAATTTACCCTAGCTGTGTGGTTGAAGCCTGAGGAAGAAGGCGTGATGTGAGTAGGACCATCAGGGTTGTGGGTTTTCAGCTGGCCTAGGACCCCGTGAAACTGGATTTGAAGATTATTGCAATCTGAGGCCTCCCCTAGAAATCAAGCTAACAATAGAGCTGTGCAACTGCAGGGTCCCTCCAGTTGAAGACCAACTGCTACGTTAGTCTCTCCTCTTCCGGCTTTACAATCGGAATGTTCTTTTTCCATCTGTTATGAATAGAGTTGACCATGAAAATGAAAGTGCTGAAATGATTGTATTGGAGGGCAATATATGGGAACATATATCAATCATATACACAATGTCCATTGTATATAATAGCTATATATGATATAATATACAATATAATTACATATTGATAAATATCAGTTATATTTGAGTAATTATTCATTCTTTTATTTCTCATATACTAGCTGATCTTTTTGGTCCTAGCCTTTGGAATCTCGAGGAAGTTCAGAGTGCATTTGTAGACACAGGTGCTAGTAATAGAAATAATTGTTTGAAGTCTTGCTCGAGTGTTCCTTATGCTTTGTTCTTACCAAGTGTTCCTACTATAAAATATTTTTTTTTTACTATGCAAGTAGCTTTTTGGAGGCTTAGGACTGTCTTGCTTATCTACTTTCTCAATAAATGTTTGTGTGATTAATGGAATATGTTCAATAATGGAGTTGGACATGTGAATAGCATTCCACCTCTCAAACAGTACAGTCTTTGGTCCTCACTGTGTGGTGTTTCCACCTTCAAATTTGTTAGGAAGTAGGTAAATATTGGTTTAAATATTAAAGCAAGTCCCCGTAGTTAAAAGGGAGGTTTATTTTGTGGGGTAACTTACAAGTGAAGGGATAGGTTACAGGGTCTGTGAAAGGTGTAGTGCAGTCCAGCGGTGTTCTCTGGAGTACTCTGCTTGGTCTACTTCTAGCGTCCAGGATCCAGGAACAAAGAGAGCTCCCCCATCTGGATCTCAGGTCTTCAGGGGTCCTCTCTCAGCTCCCCCTTGTAAGCATGACAGTTACCGAAGCCTCAAAGGGGGTGGTATTTCCAGGTCAAAGCTGGAAAGGCTACCCACTACAGGTAAACATAAGTTCTCAAAAGCTTCCCTGTTGTTGGATCCACTAAGGATACCCTCTACATGAGTTAGGAATGAGCTTCCCTACCACCAACTTTAGTCTGTGTGATCACAAGCTTTTCCCTCTGTAATCTTTTCTCACAATGATATTTGACACAAGTCCCCTAAATAATACAAAAACAGGCCAGAAATTTAATGAGCAACATTTTCAGCTGATCTTCATTTAATTTACTTTTAAAATGTTAGTATATATGTATTTATGTGCATGTGCATGTAAGTCCAGTCCAAGCACCTGTCGAGGCCAGAGAAGGCATTGGGACCCCTGGAACTGCCATTGTAGGTGGTTAGCAGCTCCCTGTCATGGGTTCTAGGAACCGAACCCAGGTCTTCTGCAAGAGCAGCAAGTGCTCTTAACCTCCAAGTCATCCCTCCAACTCCTACTAATCCTTATTTTTTTAATATTAAATTCATTCTTTGACATTTTCTCCCATGCATAAAGTGTGTTCTAGTTACTCTCACCTCATCTTTTGTCTCCTAGTACAGTGTTGGGAACCCGCCCGCCCTTGTTATGTTTGCTTTGTGGGGCTGTGTTGGGCGAGTATCTCAAAACTTAGAAAACAACCAGGAAAACCTTGCCATCTCACAAAAAATGTGACTTAGATGTCTGAGATGTTTACGTTCCACCTGCCAAGTGAAAGCCCACGTCCTTTACTTTTATTTAAAGTTTGGAGTGAAAATAGTTCCAGTCCATTTTCCTTGTTTCTATCGTTTCCCTGAAAAAGACTTTGCTGTTTTACTGTCGGAAATTCAAAGCTATTTGCTATGTCACCAGCATCCATAATTTAAAACATTTTTCTCAAGCTTACAGAGACATCTCTGCACCAGATGTCTCTTCTATTGGCATCATTTTTGTACAGATAAGGTAGATACAGGGACGTTCACAGAGGTGACGGCATGAGGTTTATAGTTTGGAGGGTCCATTGCTTGTATCAAGGTCATTTTCATTCTTGATGCTAAAATACCTATGGGAATTGGGGGAATTTGGGGTGTTTGCATTAGATAAGTAAAACAAACAAAACATGGATTATCCAATTATTGTGTATTCAGGAGCAGAATAAATCCAGTTCCTAAATATTTTACTCCCTGCCTTCCTCTCACATTTATTATCTCCCAAAGCTAGAGTGTTTACAAGCAAACAAAATAGCAAGGGAGATAATCAATAACATATTAAGAAACGCATTTTCAGCAAGCTTGGGGAAATAAGTCTGCATTTGGTAAATACATTCCTGTGTAATGATTGAATTCTCACTTGTAGATTTACACTCAAGACAAATGAACAAAGGAAAACTCTTAGACTAAGGTCCAGAGACGTGGGATACAGGTAGACTTTTTTTTGTCAGTAAACCACAAATATTCAACTACTGAAGGGTTAAAAATAGCCTGGAGCAGTCTGTATGTATACATATATGTATTTTTAAAAAGCTTTTATCTAAAATTATTTGCCAAAATTAAGAAGATGCTTTACTTCATATCTTACCAAACACAGGCAAAAAGATACTAAATTAGTGTCAATAAAAGAGGAACTCTTGCTCTATCCAATCTTACTCTGTTTTCTAACTCAGGACAACATAGATGAAAGGGAAGTGAGGTTTTTAAATGTCCCTCGTAAGGATAATTTCGAGATATCTTTAGCAGCAATTCTTGGGTGGCCCAATTTTGCCTTTGCCTCTGGGATTCTCCTGACTGAATTGATCAGTTTTGAGGGAAGGAGTCTGTAGTATTCTTTACATCTCCATATCCTCAGAACACTGATGCCCCAATGGATAGATTCTCCTTCCTACCAGAATAGCAAAGCATGTTTAGTGAGCAGGAAGGGCTGTTTATACATTGTTGAACTAAGAAGAAGGTTTCATGATCAGTGGTGCCCAAGGAGATGCCTGGCCTGAATAGATGGCAGTCAGGCAAGGAAAACGTCTCAGACTCTGAAATTCGTACCAGGAGATTATGAGAGAAGTAACCTTTTAAAAGAAATTCCAGCCCAGAACGGTGGCATACACCATCACCTCAGCACTGAGGAAACTCGGACAGAGAGACTGCAAGATCAAAATCAGCTTGGGCTAGGTAGCAAAGCCCATTCATTCTCTGAAGTAAAGTCTATCTGAAGCCCTAGAGACTTCCTAAAAGCTGCTCTATGTCATCATGATGCTACTTGATTTTAGAAGGTTTCCGTCCAAGACCATTCCATGATCGCAGTGTCTGAGCTGGCCTGCTGGCCATGGAAAAGGCAAGCAGTCCTCTTGTACACACTGCTTTTGACTTCTGGCCAGTGTAAGTGAAGAAAGAAGAGGCGGTAGTTGTTCATTCTCTGTTTCATCATAGGAATCAAATAGAGCAATTCTGACTCCAGGGTTAATAATGTAGAGCCTTCCGTGGGCTCCAGATTCACTTAACATTAAAAGAAGAAAGATTTGCCCTGGTAACTCAATACCCATGTGGGATGGGGTATGTCCTACCACTTCCTATAAAAGAAATAGCCAGGGAACTAATGAGCCAGTAGCCTAAATGTTAGTTTTTCAGTAGGATGCTATGCCTTCACATTCCATCATGAATCTCTAATGAAGGGTGTTGAGGCTCTGGGGAATATATTGTAAATAAGAATTTTATTTTTTATTGAAATAAAATGAATTCTGTTGGAATAAAGCTTTCTAGGGTGTAGCAGGGTTCTGGCACTTATTGAAAGTACACTTTGAGTTGGGGTTGGGGCCACATGACCACGGCAATACCCTGCCTGTTGTTTTGGTTGGATGCTGACCTTTTCTGTCTTTTCTGGTTGCTTCCTTAGGTGTGTGATGGAAAAGACAGTGGATGGGCAGACTGTGTTCAAAGTTACAATATCTGAGAAAGGGACCATGTTTTATTATCGCACAGTAAATGGTTTGCAGCCTCCAATAAAAGTAATGACACCAGGGAGAATTCTTATGAAGAAATGGATTCATCTCAGTGTGCAGGTGAGTAAAATAAAAAATATTTAACATGTGGTTAAACACGGGGATCTGTCATCCTGTCTCCCCTTTAAATGGCACCTACCCAGAGAAGCCAAAGCGGTATCTAAATCCCGGGAATATGTAAATGACAGCAAAGGAAGGCTGATATTTCAATGACCTCACGCTGTATCTCCTGGTGTGTTAGTGGCGTCTCCCCCTTATACTGCTGTAAAAATCTCAGCCCCAGAGCTGAACAGTAATGATGCCATGGGCACTAATCACATGTCCAGGGAATTTCTGTTTTATTTGGCCGCCACATTTTATGTTTAGACGCTAACTCCTTTAGAGTCCAGCACTGATCTCACCAGTTATGGTGGCATTTAAATCCTCACTTGGTTTCTACAGCTGTCTTTCTCAGATAGTGGCTGATGATGTGAATGAAACTTGGCTGTTGCATTAAATCAGTGACCTTAGAACTAGTGAACTTTGCACTCGAGGCGTTCGGAAGGTGTTAGATCATCACTGTACTTGTCAACCACGGTTTGGAAGACACGTAGAGGCCGTCAGAGGCTGAGGTAGCTGGGAGATGTCTGGCACTTACATGTCTGGAATGGAGACAGAGCAGCTTTTTGTTTCTTCGGGGCTTTGGGTGCCTCAGTGCTGCCTAACACACTCGTGCTTTTCAAACCAGAGGTAGAGTGTGCCTCATTCTCCAGGAGGTGCTCCCCTCTGAGCACTAACCCAGGGGTCAGCATAATTCCTTGTCACATTAGAGGATACTTGTAGCCTTGTTCATTTTATAAAAATTATCTTTGATTTCAAACACACATGCATGCAGATGTGTATACACTTAAACACACACACACATATATATATAGTTATATATGCCTATATATAAAGGAAGCAAGCATAAATTTCATATCCAGACATCCATACAGACACACACACACACACACACACACACACACACACACCCCTATATATTGCCCTGAATGAGGTAGTAAATAGATTTCCTTAAGGGGTCTTGAGAATTCTTAATTTCGTTTACATAATTATTTTGACGATATCATTCTTGATAATTTGAGAACATAGTGTTTGCACATTTGCATAACAGTGAAGTAGCAGCCCCCAAAGAAAAAAAATATGTATATTTTTATATGTATATGTATATGCATGTGTATATTTATACATACATATATATGTATATATTTATACATACATATATATGTGTATATTTATACATATACATATATATATATATCACAATTGGTTAAATGGTTTTCTGGAGGCATTCAGAGAGTCACCACACCTACTCAGAGATTTTGATTAAGACATTAGCTCAGTGAATGTGGTTGATAAGGATCAGGGTTCCCTTGTGCCCTATGTACAGGGGTATGTGCAGAGGATGGATCACACCCAACATCAGGCTCTGTAATAATAGCAGGGGCTCATCCTGGCAGTTCTCACTGCATAGTGGTTCAGTAGTTAACAAATAGGGAACTATCTATCTTGTGTCTAGAAGTTACCCATTCTAATAATTGATTGGTGCAACCAAATTGGGCTCTAATTTTTAAAACAAGGAAGTAGAAACTTCAAGATGACAAACATCTGTCTGCTTCCAGCAGATTTTGGTGTCTGCAATGATAAAGACAATCTTTCTGGTTACCTTTTTTTGGCCTGGTCTGTGAATATGGATGGGGCTTGGGCAGATGTAGCACATGAAGACTCTAAGAAGCAAGTTCCAATTGCAAAGAGGCATCTGTGTCTGAACTATCATTCTGGGAGCAGAGACTTGGAGGCCACCACTGAAGTCAGAATTGTCATTTCCATGCACAGCAGAGGGAAAATTGTTGCCTAGGTTAGGTGAATTTTTGATTTTAAATCCTCCCTTCTTTGAAGGTTAACATACTGATGGTTTAAGATTTTTTTTTTATTATAGTTCATGTGTATGAATGTCTTGCCCACATTTAGCCAAGTGCACTTTCATGTGTATAGTGCCAGAGGAGGCCAGAAGTGAGTATCAGATCTCCTGGAACTGGATTCACAGGGGTTGTGAGCCACCATGTAGGTGCTGGGAACAGAACCTCGGCTCCTGGAAGAGCATCAAATTCTCTTAACTGCTGGGCCATTACTCCATTTCCAATGCCGGACTAAGTGAGGCTGCTGGTATTCTAAACAGTCTACTGTGGGATAATTTATCCTTTCTGATTTATTAGTTTTTATTTGTTCGTTTGTTTTGTTTTGTTTTACTTTCTGACTTAAAAAATTGTACTTGAGTTTTTGAGACAGGCATTGATTGATGCTCTGCCTCGATGGACACTAAGCTGTTGCCCAGACTGCCTGCAAATTGCAGACCTCCTGCTTCTCTTTCTAAGTCCTGAGATTACAGGCATGTGCCACTGTGCCTGGCTATTACATTTCTAAAATAAAATCACTCTACTCTAATTAACTCACAAATGAAAACATCACACAGCTAGATTAATAAAGTTGATTTAAGCACTTGACCGTCCCCAAATCCATACATCTCAGTGAACTTCTACACAGTTGCAATGGTCATACTGAAGTCACAGAGCTTCTCTTAGGGCCTTATACTTTCACTGTCAATTATATTTTTATTCACTTATTGACAACAAAACCTAAAATGTAATTAGCTTTATTTCCTCTTTCATTACTCATGTGTCCTCTTGTTACCATACATAAACTACACAAAAACACCAGGTCTCATTGTAACACTTCCACGTGTGCATACAATATGCCCTGATCATCTTTGTCCCCTCTTAGCCATGGGTCTTGTGTGTGTGTGATATGTGTGCACATGTGGGGGTGGGTGCAGGCATCCATGAAAGCCAGAGGAGGAGATTAGAACTTCAGTTCTATCACTCTCTTCATGATGTTCCCTGAGACGGGATCTCTGCTGAGCCTGGAGTCTGGCCAAAGCCAGCAAGTTTGTGTTATTAAATCTCAAGTCTCCACTCCTGAGAGTGTACTCGTCCAGGCGCACAGAGCATGCCTAACTCTTTATGCAGCAACCGGGGATTTGAACTCAGACCCTCAGACTTGCACAGCGATCTCTTATTTATCCCTGGAGCCATCTTTCCACGTGCCTCCATTTTTTCCTAATAATCCTTCTGACTTCTCATCTTTTGGTTTGTTTGTTTCTGTATTTATAATGACAAAAAGAATGTAATGCTTAACTTTCTGTTCGTTTTTGGGAATGATGCAATTATATCATAATCTCAAAAATAAAAAAAATGTCAACAAAGTACCATCTACAAGGGAATAAAAAGAAAAAGTAAAAAGAAAAAAAAGTCACACACACACACACACACACACACACACACACACACACACACCAATCAACAACAAATGTGTGTGTGTGTGTGTGTGTGTGTGTGTGTGTGTGTGTGTGTAAATACATATGCCAAAATAAATCAAAGGGACTAAATGCTATTGCCAGGGTGGTTGCACATGCAAAAATGGGTACTCCCCTCTCCTCCCTGAGCTTGGTTATCTTCTTGGACAAAGCACCCCTTGTAGAGAGCAAAGACTGAGGATACTCGGCCCCTCTCTTGTATGTGTTGCTTTTCAGTGAGTCAGTGCGAATAGCTTGGAATAAGAGCTGACTGGAATAGCTCTCCTTCCCTGCTCAGTATCCTAAGGAACCCAAACGTTTCCTCAAAAGGAGATCACTGGGACAGACTGTTTAAGCAAACCCCAGGACAAGTTGTCACTGAACTCCTCTGTGTATCTGGATCCCAGGCTCCTCCAGAAAGTTCACCCAAAGAACAGGACAGCACACTCCCCTGGGGTCTTGGAGTTCCCTGCACCTGAGCTACCAACCACCTCCAATCTTCCAGGACATGTTCTTCAGTGAGCTTGCCACACTGGGCCACAAAGATGGGACTGCATGGGACAGGATGGGGCTGCTTTCTGCGAGCTTTAAGGAATGAAATGGTGTGAACTTATCTCTCAAAGCCTTCTCAGGATGGCTCCCCATCACAGCAGCCTGCCTGTGTTTTCAGAAACACAGGCACATCTCAAAGGCTAACTCCCCCTGCAGCTGCCGGGTCATGTGAGTTCAGACAGCCTTTGGATCCTGTATGTGTCTGTGTCAGTGTTTACCTACAATCTCTCCATTTTCCCTTTTCCTGGCTTTTCCTGGGTGCTTTGTTCCATGATCTGTGTTTGCTTAGTATCCACTTCTCATTGACAAAAGTAGAATATTGAGCAATGGCAATGGCACCTGTCACCAAACTGGATGGTGTCAGTTCAATCCCCAGGGCCCCACATAGTGAAGGGAGAGCACCATGTCCTGAGACTTATCCTCTGACCACATGCAACTTGCCTTCTGGCCATCAGATGCATTCCATGGAACACACACACACATATATAATGAATAAATTCAAAAATGTAAAAAAAAAAAACATTTAAAGTCAGAATGTTAACTTCTCCAAAACATTTTTAAATGGCTTTAAATGATTAAATCCCTGGGCAACAAAGACACCAGGAAATGCCAGGCACGTGAACGGAAGAGATCTAATATCCTAAATACAAAAATATCCAAAATTGTTTTAGTGATAGCTATACCAGCATTTATTTGAAAGCCAACATTTCGAGATAAGAGCTATCAGAAAATGGGAAGTTTGTAAATTAATATTCATTTGGGGACTTCAATCTTACATGATGCTGATTTAAATTTTGCTTTGGAATTTAACATATTGGCCATTTCTGATTATGTAACAAGGGAATTTTTGTCATGCTTCTTATACTGAAACTTGAAAAAATCAATCTGTGTGTTTATTAAGTAAATAGGGATAATCTTCGTAAGTTTTTAAGGGCTTAATATTCATATTAGATCAGAATACGTTACAGCTGCTAAGAGACAGATCTTTGAAATTTTGGAATATATAAAGGGGTTTTATTATTTTGTTGTGGGTTGCCAGGCCAAACTACTTGGAAGCAGGTGTTAAGCTGTCTGTCACTTGAAAGTAAAACTCCTGAGTCTTCTGTGAAAGTTGCCTTTG